CCTAGGGGTGAATCAAAAATCTAAACATTCTAATCTCAATAAGGTAATTAACAAAACACCAATCATACCATGCACCATAATTTCATAAACTATCTAATATACCCAGCGTTACAGTAACATTAAATACTTCAAAACAACTTAAATAATGTAAGGTTACATCCCAAGCCAAATTATCCAAAATACTAAGGTCATTAAAAAAAATAATAATTACATAAATTAGTATTAACCTTAAGCTCAAGAAAAATAAAAGAACTCCAAACGACATGTCCTACGATTACGGTTATTTCTCGTCACCACCAAAGCCTCTACTAATCCTGCAAAGGAAGCTCAGCTGCGCTCCAACAGAACGCACCCGAGTTGCCAAGAGACAAAACGGGTCAGTATACAAGTATACTGGTATGAGTACAAGAATTGACACCCACGTGTCCACCAGACACAAACAAAAAGTACATTATTTCTTATCACGGGACAAGACAAGTAGTTCCAACCGCACCGAGACGAATGGGTAGTTTCTCGAGACACGGTGGCATTTAGTTTCTTGTCCGTACACAACGAAATATAAATTTATTATAAAATAAACAAAAGAGAAATAGAAATATGGTGGGCGAGCCCGCCTGCAAAAAGTTAGTAAGACCCACCATCCTGCAAAAACAAATAAAGTTAGTATAAATTTAATCGCATAAGCTAACTTATTGAAACAAAATATAAATTTACATCCGTTTCATACTTAAATAATTCGAATTGATCAAACAACTCAAAGAAACGAAAGTTGTACAGAAATCAAATTTCTAAAAGACAACCGTGAAACGAATTTAACAGAAACTGAACAGGTGAAAAGAAAGGCTTGATCTAAAAATCTAGACGGAATTCAAATCGAAAAATATGAAGCTGAAAACGAACAAAAACTAGCCATAAGAATGATTTTTTTTCCGAAAAAATTCAAAAACATGAAAAGTGTGCAGAATAATGTTTTACTTTAGTTTAGCGCGAAACCAATAAAAATGAACTCGTTCATGGGTTAAAACAGCCTATAAAGCTGCATTACCAAAGTGAATCCAACCGACAATAACCAAGGTCATCCGATTATAAGTTCTAATCGTCTTTTTAATAAAAAGCTACAACACAAAGTTGTCCAAAGTGCACGTATACATGCCTCTCCTCAAATTTCATATTTATCAAGGATCGTTTACTATTTTTATCATGTACAAACAGTACATACACACTATACTAATAAATTCATGATTAAAATTCTTTGTTCCTTAACTCCACCACTCGGCTCTTGCTTTCCGGCCTACACATATATCCATGTGCCTCCCGTATACCGTAACACCGCTCCGAAGCCAAACTTGCCACGGGGATATCGTCCCGAGTTTGAACTCACACTCCCCGGATGGTTAGCATATACGTACGCGCGCAAATCAAAGCACTCGTCCTACTCATGAGAACGAGGCAACAATATAAAATAACATTTCATCAACATCATGAGACAAATATAACAATGCCGGGCATAAGGCATTAAACAACTCTCATAATCCTCACTTTTTTATACACTCTTCTCCCTATCCCGCATCTCTAATATAAAACAACAATCCATGGAGTCATGGTGGAGTATAAAGAATTTATCTATATGTTCTTAAATTAATATCAATTTCATATACCAGCAGTGTAATTACAACATAAAATAAATCCATATAAAATCCTAAACATGGCATCCACAACTAATCAGAATAATTAAATCAATCCATCATCTACAGGCAAATATATAAAATCAATCCAACATCAAATAGTAAATAAATAAATAAAAATAATGAATCAATCCATCATCTAACTAATATCTATGGATTCTAAGTTTTTTTAATTATATAATCATGAGTATGAAATACATATCATAAAACAATCCATAATAAAAAATCCTAAATCTTGCGAATAACAATAATCAAAATAATTAGAAATCAATCAATCATTAAAAAACCCTAAAAAGCCTTATATGAATAACAACTAATCAATATTAAAATCAATCAATTATCTAAGAACGCCTATAAGCTTTACATAACACCGAACTAGTCAAAAAATAATTAAATCAATCTTGCATCTTTGTGGTGAATACAAAAATCAAACTAGATTCAAATAAATAAATAAATAAAAAGAATAAATATAAATCCAGGAAGTAGATTTTTGTAACTACAAATTATTTTTGAAGATCAAAAGAATCACCCAAAGAATTAATAAAAAGTCACCCAAAATAAAACCTAAACCTTGCATACCCACAAATGCCAAAATAATTAAAATCAATCAATCAACGCCAGAAACTCTAAAGCTTACATAACACGTCTAAATCCAAAAATAATTAAAAATTAGTCATATGTTAAAAAAATCTAAAACCTTACATATCCAAGCTAATTAGTTTATATTATAGTACAATCAATTAAGTTATCTAAAAATCTTAGACCTTGACATATACACCTCTAATCACACAATTAAAAATTAATGCAATGCATCTAAAAACCCTAAACCAGTTACATACATCAACTTAATTAAAAATTATTACATGCAATTAATCATCTAAAAATTCTAAACCTTACATATACGTTCTAATCACATAATTAAAAATTATTCAATTGACTAAAACAATCCAAAGCCTTCATACCCAAGTCTAATTAAATTGATTACAATCGAATAATCAGCTAAATCCAAAGCCTACATATATACGTCTAATCAACATAATAGAAATTAATCATGTCGACTGAGACAAACAATCCAAGAACTTCATACCGCCGAATCTAATTATAAAATTATACAATCTAGTAATCATGCTAAAAATCTTAAATCTTGCACATAGCGTCTAATTCAAAGCGATAGAATTAAAATTAATCAATCGTCTAAAAAAATCTCAAACCTTTCAAATACCCAACTAATTAAAATTATAGCCAGATGGCTATTAATCATGCTAAAATCTTAAATCTTACATATACGTCTAAATCAACATAATTTAAGAAATTAAAATCGATCGTCAAAAAAAGTCCCAAGACCCTTTCATACCAACTAATTAAAAATTATTAACAATCTATTAATCATACTAAAAATCCTTAAATCTTACATTACGTCTAATCAAATAAGAAATTGAAAGATTATCAATTGACTAAAACAATGCCCAAACCTTCGATACCCAACTAATTAAAATTATGTACAATCTAATTAATCATCTAAAAAATCTTAAATCTTACATATACGTCTATCACATAATTAAAATTAACCAAACATCTAAAAAAATCCAAACCTTTCATAACCCAACTAATTAAATTATTACAATCAATTAATCATCTAAAAATCTTAAAGTTTAACCATACACAACTAAATCAAATCAATCACTTGTCTAAGAATCCTAACTTTACAGGTACTACAAGCAAAGATAATGAAAACAAATCTATCCATGCCTAGTGAACCACTCGAAATCTTATACCACAACTAATCAAATATTAAAAATTAATCTATCATCTTTATGTAAAGACAAATCAAACTAACACAAAAAAAAAAATAAATAAATAGTAAAACAGCGAATTAAACATAAATCAGAAAGTGAGTTTAAGTACTCTACGAAGTTATTTTTGAAGACAACCAATAAAATATTTGAGAGAACTAAAGGGAGCACCAAAACAAAATCTAATCATTTTTATTTTTCCTCTCGCCTCTCTGCCTTTCAGCGCGTCTCTCTCTCTCTCTCTCTCGTCTCGTCTCTCTCTCTCTCTCTCGCTTTCCGCTGCGCCTCCTATTCACGTTTCTTTTCTTTTCATTGATAATCTATTTTCTAACTAATACACCATTATAATAATAATTATATTATATAATACATTATAATATATATATATAATAGTAAATTAAGATTAAATATATATAAATATCCATATATAACACTTCTCTTTTTTTTTTATATAACAAATATAAATATATAAATATTTAGATTAATTATATATAATTAAATAACACATTAAATTAATTAATTATCACATCAAATTCATTAAATAACACATTAAATTCTCATGTGACCACACAATTAATAAAGTCAAAAATCAAATAAGATAATAATAACCATAATAATAAAAAAAATAATGACTAAAGAAAATTAGGGTCGCTACAAAATCAAATTAAAATTCTTAAACCAAACCAAATTAAAATTCTTTAACCAAAACCAATTGGGTCTCAAATTTCAATAAGGAGATATATCCCAACAATTCTTCCCCTATCGACTTAGGTGGAGACATCAACCATACCCGCCAAAGTTCGACACTTCAAATGTTTGTCCCTTGACAAAGTCTTTGTCAACATATCCGAAATATTATCATCTGCGTGAACCTTTTCGAGTTGCAACAATTTCGAATATAACACATCACGAATCCAATGGTATTTCACATCAATGTATTTCGATCTCGAATGAAAAGTAGAATTTTTACTCAAGTGAATAGCACTTTGACAATAACAATAAAACATATACTTTTCTTGCTTTAAACCCAACTCTTGCAAAAATTTCTTCAACCATAACTCTTCTTTGCAAGCTTTCGTAATGGCAATAAATTCAGCTTCGGTAGTTGAGAGAGCAATACATTTTTGTAATTTAGATTGCCATGCCACAGTTTCCCCTGCAAAAGTCATCAAATATCCCGAAGTAGATTTCCTAGAATCAACATCACTGCCCATGTCAGAATCTGTGAACCCATCAAGCATCGGCTTACCATCCCCAAAACACAAACACACATTCGAAGTCCCTCGAAGATATCTTAGAATCCATTTTACTACTGCTCAATGTTCTTTACCCGAATTAAAAAGAAAATGACTCACCACACCAACGGCGTGAGCAATATCCGGCCTTGTACAAATCATGGCGTACATCAAAGAACCAACTGCTGAAGCATAAGGAACTTTCAACATCTCTTCCTTGTCTTTCTCACTTGTAGGACATTGATTCGAACTAAGCTTGAAGTGACCCACAAGTGGACAACCCTACAGATTTTCACATACAACTCTCTATGGAGGCATCGCGTCTAATAAAAGAGAGTTGGTGGCTTACTGATGGGAAGAGGTCATTTGGAGAACTAGACTCTGCTGTTGGTTATGCTTTGCTTGATCCAACATGGGCTGCCCAAGACAATACCTCAACAGCCATTGGTATGTGCTTGATAACTTAGGTTTTGTATTGATAAATTTTACCCATGGTTATTAAAATCGCGATACAGTCCAAAATCGCGTTCCGGATTGTAGGATTCATACAAATGATCCAGATCGTTGTAGGATTAATGTTATAATAGGATCACAAGTAGGATTGTAGATTTTGTGATTTTTCACCTTATTTTTAATATGTATCATTCTAATTTATATTTTTATCTTTTTTTTAATAGAATGTAGGATCTTACGATTCTCAATCCGATCCTGCGACCCAATCCACGAGATCCTCTCACCGATCCTACCTAGGATCCCGATTTTAACAACCTTGATTTTACCATGTCTTTGGTGCTGATATTTTATCTCTATATTTATTTTGCTTTTTTCTTTTCATCCTCTAATGATGAGGGTGCTGTCTAGCCATTTCATTTTTCTGTATGTATAAGCAATATATAAATCTATTGCTTTCATTCACTGTTGGGGGTAATGAAGCTGCCTCGAAGTCATTTTCTTTTCAATGGCAAATTGAATAAATTAGAACACAGTACGAGAACATTGTTTTTTGTGTGCTTGTGACAACTAATTAGTTTTTAATTGCCTGATCATAAACTTTTGCTCACATGAACACAATTTATAGCTCAAACCTTCTGCTAAAACATATAGCAGTGAGTTATAACTTCTCTAGGATTGAAGCAGAGTAATAATGAAAGTCAAATTGTTTCAGTTCATAGCGTATTATCTAAGCTAACAAACAATGTTTTACTTGCTTTGAGGTAGCCGTGGTCTAGTTCTTTTCAAACTGATCAGCTAAACATTCATCACCTTGAACCATTTCAAGTTTTAAGGACTAATTGTTTCTTACATTATGTTTTTTTTATTGACCCTCGATCCTGTAATGTGATCATTTTTTTGCTAGGTAACATTGTGGCCCTGCTTCACTCTTTCTTTAGTAATCTTCCACAAGAATGGCTAGAAGGAACACACCTTATCATAAAGCATCTCAGGCCAGTTACATCAGTTGCAGTGTTGAGAATAGTATTCCGTATTATGGGTCCGTTGCTTCCACGATTGGCCAATGCACATGCTCTTTTCAATAAGGTCAGAAAATTACTGATTCATTTCTAGTTTAATTCTTTGAAT